GCTCGCGCGATCCGCGCGAATCCGCGGATTTACACCGTGTCGGGGCTTGACGGCGCTCATTACCAGAAATTAGGTGCTGCGGCTGGAAGCGCCGATAATTGTAACGGTTCGACGCCGGTATGTTTCAATTAGCGACGAGTGCTCGTGAATCAAGGCAATCGAGCGACTCGGCGCGGATCCCATCGCACCCATCATCAATGACGATTATCCGCTTCCGTTGTTCGCTCGCGAAGATATCAATCCTTAATCGATTGATTATAATCTCGAATTTCTATCCCTCCACGATGATCCTTTTCCGAGAGGAAAAAAATCATTGAAGAATCTCGAGTCTCTTATTGTGATACTATCGGATTGAAAATCCTGTAGACGGTAGGGGGGATAAAACCCATGTATCTGTTGACACTTCGAAAAAATGTAAAGCGTAGAGAGAGATAAGTCTTCTTAAAGGAGAAACTCGACGCAATGAAATTATTTCCGGTCTCAATAACGATCGGCGAGAGTGGGTAGGCTGTAACGATCGTTGTTATTACCAAGTATAGTGATCGAATGACGATGCCAATTCGCGGCAACGACAACTCATTTCAGTCTCGGCGACTATCTCGAAGAACGATCGATATTTTTCCGTGAGACGGGCAAGTGGTTCCCCAGAGTAAAAGACGACCAAAAGACACGGAAAGGAGAAAAAAGAGAGAGAAGGAGAGAGACGTCGGCGAATACGAACAAATAGATCATGGGAGAGGAATGACCAAGTTACAGAGAAGGAAGGGAACCGAGGAAGGCCATTATGACAAAAAAGAAGGACCGGTCCAGGGACCTCGAAGAGCCAAGATGATGGGACGTGGGTGGAAGAGGAACGGTGACAAGTGAGATCGCGGTCGATCTACCGAGAGGAAGAACGAGATAAGGAAGAAGGAAAAAAGCGTCCAAGAGAGTATATGATGGAAAAAAAACGGAAGAGTCGAGATCCCTCGAAGATGGGCAGCGACGCTTATAATTTCTAATGGATCGCGCGAGCTACGTACGTAGCTCCTCTCTTTTTTTTCGTTCGCATCCCGGGATCGCTTCCTCCGACCGTCGTTCGCAATGATTTATATTTGCACCGGCGATCCCGCGTGAATGAGCAAAGAAACGGACGCGAGAATCGCGCTGTCACGTCGCGTTCGCGAGAGGGAAAAGAAGGAGAAGAGGATCCGTCACTGAAGCTACCGTTTGACATTTTTTCGCGATATGATTCGCGATATGACAGTATCCTCGCAGAAGCGATCATAAAATAATATTTAAGATGGAAAATAGAAATATATTTTTTTTTAAATATATTTTTATTTTGAAAATAAAAATATATTTTTTATATTCAAAATATATTTTAATAGTTAAAATCTTATTTGAAGTATTTAAATGTGTTTTCGTGAAATTTCAATCACACGCAGAAATAAATATACATATTTACAAATAAATATCTTCAGTCTTAAAAATTTCACAATCGACTAGAATAATTATTTTATTGTATGAGCGCGATAAAATATTTTTCAATGCTACTTTCGCGAGTTTTAGTGAAATGTGTAAAACAGATTGCAAGAATTTCGCAAATATAAGATTGATGTGTTTGCGGAGTGAAGCTATAACGAAACAAGAATAGGCGAAAGAAGCACGATTCGCCTTGTCGGCACTTTTTCAAGGCTGCACGTTGTTCGATACCTCTTAAAGTATCATAGCATCATCACGTTCTTGCATGGAGATAACGAGATTTGTTTTCATGCAGTGTTCAAGAATGATACAAAAGCGGCAAAAATGAGAAACTCGTACGCCAACAGACTTTTTTCTAATTTAGTTGTAAGCAAAAGTGCTTCGTATGGTCGATGACAGTCAGACGAGACGTTATATAACATATTTTATCTCCTTTATGCAAAGAATTCTAAAATATCTATCGATTTTTTAACAATAACTTAAGTTAAATTTAGCCAAATTAATTACAAATTATATGATGACTAAAAGTATAACATACATGTTACGTCATAATTTTCTTTTAATAATATCTCTGTACATTTCCATCTCTCTCTCTCTTTTTTTCGTGAGGAAAAAATATCTTTATTAAACGTTTATTAAACTTTTATTAAAAATGAAATAACATAAGTCTCATGCATTTATCAAGTTCTAGAAATCTGTAAAAATAAAGATAAAATATGTTTCCTATAAATAACGTGAGAAATAGCATATGTGAAGTAAATGCATTGAATATCACTATAATTACTTGATAGTATTGCATTAATTAGAGACAAATGGAGCTATTTCGATCGATTTACATTCACGTGGAAAGGACGCGAGGAATCTCGGTGTGGTCCTTATTTTCAAGGATCCGCGATAATTAATCTAATTATGACGCCTTTTCATCCGCGCTGCCGCAATCATTTGAGAAGCTGCCCGTGAATACTGTTACGGAGATGGAACATCGGCAAGCCGATTATTCGAGTATCCCTTACACGAAACGTCGATTATTCCATTACCGGTTATCCGGGATATCGATCGCGCTGAAAGGGAAATATACGTACGTCCGGCGAGCGTATAATGAGGTGCACAGCTGAAATTCCAGGCGCATGATGTAAACACATCCAACCGATTATCGGTATATATATACGTTTCGTGGTTCAAGATATAATAAGATCTTCGGTGCATTCTGAATGTTAGGTTTTCCATTCCCTTGACAGTGATTAATTAATTGACGATTAAGAATCATTAAAATATTTTACAATCAACTTTACAAGTTATCAATAAAAGTCATATATTAATGATGCGATTTGAGATTTTTATATAAATCTAATCACAATAAATATGTGGATTTGATAAAGAATTAATAATAATGGAAACTTTAAGTGTAAGAAAGTATGACATTGACCCTCTTCGCTGCATCCATTAACGCCAAAAGAAGTACGCATATCGATTATTTCAGAATTTGTAAGACGATTGGGTCAAGTCGGGTTATCGATGTCGCCTTCATCATATCTTTTTTTTTCGCGCTACATCCTCAGCCAAAGACTATGTCCGTTGAACATTCGCAGATATTCGAGCTGTCAATAAATATATCTTTAAATATAAATGTGCTATATATATATATATATATATATATATATATATATATATATATATAATTTTAACAAATTACACGCTGTTCAATATTTTCAAATCTACTTATATTTTAGATAAATTTTTTTTAGAAAAAAATGTTTTTAATTAATTCAAAACAAAATTATATCATAGGTAGAAGTGAAATAAATATGCAGCCAAAAATTAGCAAGGAACAAATAACGTGTATATATACATATGTATATTTTTAATTTTTTTAAATGTGCAGCACATACAGGTTCCTGTCTCAATTTCGATGTGTGTACAGATATGTGGATTATAAATTCGTGGCAGTAGAAAAAAATACAAAGATGACAAAACGAATTTATGCCCTTTTCGTTAAAGGCCTTGAAATATTTACAATTTACTGCAGCAAGTATCGCGAGTAGTGTTGTGCAATATACATAGATAGATAAATCTATAATCAAGCATCATGTATAGAATACTCTCTTTAATTCAATTTTTCTACGATATATAAACCGGTATAGTTATCGCTCAATCAATCATTTTTAACAATCGCTTTGTATGATGTATGATAAAGTAGCACTTGAAGTATTATTTAATAACATTTTATACTCTCTATTGATACTAGGTATCATTTTATTTAGATAATAATCACGATTGTCTTGCACAACACTGACTGCCGGTTTATAGATAGATTATGTGTTCTTAATTACGTATATATAGATAGGAAAGAGCTCTTTAGCTTTCTTATCCGAGAATCGCATGAAAAAATAATTTGCTCGGAACCTGTTCCTACATAATTATCTTTTTCAGCCTTAAAGTGATATGTGATAGACATACTCATTTCTTTATTTACTCTAAATACGAGTCCTCAAACGTTGCAAGGCACCGCATACTTTCCGACGTAATTAACATGAAAATCGTATAATTCAATTAAATTAAAATTGAAATCAAAACTATCTCAAGCATCTCTTCAATTGTTAATTTTCTATAACTCAATATAACCTTGTGATCATCTCAATATTTAATATAATTAATTTCAAAGGTAAATCACGCTAAAAAGAAATAAAATAGATTGTAACAGAATATAACGGGAAAAATACGGGTGAAAATGACAAAATACAAAAGCGAATCGTTGAAAAATTATATTTTTTTTCCATTCATTGGCACGAATCGTAAACACAACATAATTTATAAATTAACGTACACAATCATCTTCAATAATTTACACAAATTCTCGTGAGTGTTTCATCATTACAAAAGATAATATACTTTCGCTTGGGAGTCGGAGATCAAAATCTCTTTCCGAGACAAGCTTTTTTGTGCCATGTAAGAAGGAAGAAGGGGGGATGAGCTTGAGATTCGAAATATCCTTTCGTTCCGGTAAAACCGAGAACACGACGAATGTCTCTTATAAACGCATGAATTATTTTGCAATGAATTTATTTTTATGATACCACGTAAATTGGAATCTCTCTCCCTTCCTCTTCCGATTCGATGACGGAATGACGGTAAGAGATAAATGAGTAAAGTAGAAAACTAGAATGAAGGATGAGAGAGAAGAGTCAAAGGGAGAAAGTGAGGAAAAAACAGACGAGAAGAATAGAAAGCTTGACTCATGAATAACAAAATAAATAATAGAAGCATTAAACATGATTAATTACTTAACAACGTAACTAGAGATAATAATATTAATAATAATAATAATAATAATAATAATTAATAATAATATTAATAATATTAATAATAGAAATAAAATAATGATCATACGAATGGCTACACTTGTTAATAATTACAAGAACAAGTCTGGCACGGCAATCGCTTAACTGCCCGAAGACACGTCGAACGTGTTTGTTCCTTTTTCCTTCGCGTCTTTCCTTATTTTAAATTACTACAGATTTATTACGCAAGAGATTCTGTCAATTTAAGGCTGAATCGGTGCGAGGGATAACGTCAAGTCAGAGATCAACAATGTTTTTGCTTCGATAATCGCCGAAAAAATAATGAGAGAAAATAAAACGAAAAAGGACGAGAGTTTGTGTGCGATACATCGAAGACTGGATGGCACTTGAATTAATCGCATGACTTGAATGCGCAAATATAAGAACTTTCTACTGAAAAATATTGAGCAATTCATTTTTCAATGTAATACAAATGAGCGAATCCACTCGTTAATCTATGAGTATTAATTATCCGAGCGAGCATCGGATTGAATTATTCTCCAGTTGCGTGAAACAAACTTCCAAAAAATAAAGAACGAGATAACGAAACAGAAAATGCATTGCAAAGATTTTTAATTTTCAATCTGGGAAACAAACATAATTTACCTCAATTTAACACATTTAAAAAATCAATTTAGAAAATTAATAATTGTTTAAGCAATTAATTCATCATCACAACAATAATTAATTAGTGTCATTAGATGCCACATATTAATCACGCTCTTACAATTGATTGACTCACCGTTCAAGAAAGCACTAACAATTAGAAAATATTGTTAACACGGTCGCTTTTCTACTACTCGAAACTTGGAGTATTATCGATTAAAGAACGAAACAATTATTCTCCGATTCGACAATCCTCCCTCGCACATCGCACCACACGATATAAATCGCTTTTTCCAAGCAATCGTTCGATCAAGAGGGCAAGTAAAATGGCAAGCAGAGAGCGACAATACCTTCTCCTTAATAGCTACTTACTCGTCCCATTCCTCTGGAAACGCTTAATCGGTATTAGGTAGATAATTAGAAAAAACCTCGATATACAAAAATACAGATATACGTACTTATGCACGCGCAATTGTTGCGTATCAGGGCGCGCTGATACTTTATCTATTTGCCGGCGAGGAGGAGGAGAATAAGAGACACATCGGGGGAAGTACACGGAGTCGTACATACGTATATGTATACAGGGTGAGAATTAAGAACGAAACGCGCGCGGCTCCTCGAAACTGAATAAGCTCGAGCATTACGTCGGCGTGCGCTGCTCCTGTCAGCGAGTCACCATATTGACTATTTTCGTAAAACTATGTGGAATTGACGTTTCCGAGACGAGAGACGAACTTGTTCGCGGGGCCGAACAAACGGATAATAACGATGAGTTACAGATTCAGAGAGACGGAATACTTCTTCTCGTGTGATTTTTTTGTATCAATATATAAATATTATAGTTTCAACAGTGTTAATCATATAATCAAATCACTTTTAGCCTCCTCTTTCATCTTCATCTCTCCTCGGGGAAGGAAGAGAAGTGACATTTTCCGTGCTCTATGATTCTATTGGAACGACATTAGCGTGTTCAATTTGCCGTTCACTCGACCCGGCGACCTTATTCGCGGAGATCATATTGAGATTGTCTTCGTCGATTCACAGCGCAAAGATACCTTGTCCGATTCGCCCTGTTCTTCGCTTAAGCACCACAACCAGGTTCCGATTAATCGCGCCGCAACGCATGCACACTTGATTTTCAATAAAAAACTCGAAGAGAGAAACGTGTATCAATTTCAAGTGCTCGTCCCTCGATAACAAATCGGTGATCGTCAATCTCAACTTGATGACCCCGATGACGTTCGACGTAACTGATTAGCATTAATTTCGAGGTAAGAATAATTTCCAAGCTTTTCAAGTTGATGACCGAAACCTCTTGCGAAATCACACACGCTTCGCGTGTGAAAAAATATTTTTTATCTCCTTTACAAGGCGTGCGGCGGCGCGAATAATTACAACAGTTACAATAATAGAACGCAATAATAATGTCAATAGTATTTACTTACTAATTAACGTTACTTCTATACGCTTTATTATGCTTTAACATCGAGTTTTCTCCTCTCCTTCCTTCCCTGCAGGTACAGATACAGTTTCTTTCTTTTTTTTTTACATTATCATCCTTGCAATCGATCAACGCCTTTAACGAAATGTCCACCGCAAAGGGATGATTACACATTTATAACTATTAATACATCACGGTTTTTCGCGAGTTTCGGTTTTCTCTATCTAGAAAGTCATCTTAACAATTTTTCAAGTAACAACAACTTGAGCAGGTTTCGGGCGAATCGACGAGGCAACCAATGGCGACTCGCTATTCATAGACACGTTGAGAAAATTATTGGTGATAAATAAACTCGACGAGAGAAATGATCCCTTGATCGGTTTGTAGACTTGGTCCTGAATGATCGATGTCTCGTCTTGCGTCGGGATTATTGGCGAGATTACTTTCGTTTCATCTCGTCACCAATAATTTTTCTCCGCAAAAATCGCGAGCTCGGATCGACCGACGGATATGTTTTACACGATGTAATTCTAGAACTGCTCACTGGAGTCTAATGAATCCTGTCTAGACTTCTTGTCATATATCCTCGATATGATTTATTTATAATACCATTTATTAGCCATGTTAAAAATTATACACACAACAATTTGCATTTCAATATATCTTTCAGCTAAAAAATATATATATATATATGTATATAAAGAATAGGAAATAACGATATCAACGATGTCAAAATCATGGACTCCATTAGATCTCGATGTGCAGTTTTAACGGGGTTGACATGCGTGTTAATCGCGTATTCGAAATGTCCGTTTTCGAAGAATTTGGCACGTGTATTTCGCGTCATGTAAATGTAAATTTTCTTCACAGTCAACGCTAAAGATCAGGAGAATCCTTTGTGAAGAAATAACGCGCGAAAAGAATGATGGATTATGTACATACGATATTATTTGGACACGTGGTCGTTTAACGAATACGATAAACAAAAAAAAAAGAAAAAAAAGAAAAACACGATTCGACTCTGACGCCAAGCTTTTAAGCACCGCTTTCATGTATCTCCGCGCTGCACTTGCACGGCCGAGCAGGAATGCTTTACATTTTCGACTTCTATTACTTAACTTTACGCATCGAGAACGAGAGAGCGGAAGATGTATAAAGAGAATACTCGGCTTGATACACGTTTTTGTAACGATGACGGTCAAAAAACATTCGAGAACAACCATTGACGCAGTGATCAATGCAAGCAAAGAAATCTTGGAAGCTGTAAGATCGACTTTCAAGAAATTTTCCAAATGATGGAAATAGATATCTGTTAAAATAAATGTTTTTGTTAGTAAATTATTTTAAAATAGATTTAAAATAAATTTATTTTAAAATAAATTTAATTTTAAAATAATTTTTTTTCTTAATAAATTACTTTGCGATTTCTTCGAAATAAATTTTTTTAACAGACTGATCCGCTAACAAGGTTTTTACAAGACTGCGTGTTGTGTTAACGGATTGTTTTCCGACCGAATTCATCACTGATGAAACGTTTGCGAATTTCAGAGGTTGAAAACATCGATTCGCGAAAGCGGAATCAGACGGAAGATCAAAAAAGTACGATAATACTGTTCGGCATTGTTTGCTGATCGCGGCGCGATCGCATATGACGCATGAAAGGGGAGTGATTTCTAGGCAATTCGCGGATAATCATCAAACAAAAAGAATCTTATTTTTTTTGACAAGTAATATAAATATAATATACTCACGGGAGAGCGAAGTGTTTCTATCCATCACTCAGCTCTTCATGATGCTTTCTCGACACGTGAATTTAACTCTTTCGCCGAGAAAAGACATGTAAAGGGAGATTTTCAAACGTGGAAATACGAGAAAAGATCGCAGAATATTGGAATAATTTTCTTCTTTTTTTTGACAGCAAAACAGCTGTAAACTGTCAATGTTACGTACACACGATCGCTGTATCTTTCGATATCGTGAAATCTTATTTTCGCGTATAATTAATTCTTAAGTTTATCAATACGTAAATTTTGCTGCTGCAAATTAAGTTTCAACGCGAAAGAGTGAAATTGACGCGTCTTAGCTGCAATTCCTTCCAAAATAGCCGTTCCATAATTTTAATCACAGACTCTGATTAGCGTCTGTCGGGACCCCGAGTTTCGACAGCAAAGCAAATCCTCCCTCCCATCGATCCGTTTCACCAAAAGACCGCAACCTGATCAATCTCTTTCTAACGTTCGGCTGATGTCGCAACGTTCATCGAACGGCGACCTCGTTCCTTCGAAGCGTTTCGACGAAGCCCCGATCGAACCGCGAAGATCGTCCCTGGGGATCCTCGATCGATCCTGCTGCGATGTCCTCGCTGGCATCTGCTGCCAGAGTGCAACCAGGGTCATCCGACTGGCCGTCGTCATTCGGCCTTGATAACCGCCGACGGCGCCGCCGTCACGTTCTGACCGAAGGTGGGACACTCCTCGGTACCGAGCAGACCCGGCTCCGTCTTCGGAACCGGACCGTCCACGCACCGATTGTGGGTCTTGAGGTGCCTGGTGATCATGTCCCTGCGACAGGCCGCGTACGCGCACTGCGGACACTTGTACGGCTTCTCGCCGGTATGAGTTCGCTGGTGGGTGCTGAGGTGATCGGATCTGCTGAAGACTTGCCGACAGACCCGGCACGTGTACGGCTTGACGCCGGTGTGCAATCTCATATGCCTGGTCAGCATGTCAGATCTGGCGAAGCTCCTCTGACACACGTCGCATAGGTACGCCTTTGCCGAGGCATCGTGGAGACCCTGCCGACGATGCCTGGACGCCATGTGTTTCGCCAGACGATCGTGTAGACTGAACATTTGCCCGCACTCGGGACACACGTAAGCCACATCCGCGCCCGGTGCCATTTCCTCCACGACGGGCAGAACCGTCAGCTTGTACCTTTCCGCGACGCTCTCCTTGGTGGTGGGTGACGCGACGTCGCCCCTCACTACGGGCACGTTTACAGCACCCCGCGTCACGACACCGGACGGTAGAAGCTGAAGAGCCGGAGACATGGCGGAGGCCGCCGCCACCGTCGCAGCGGCTGCGGCGGATTGCAACGTGAGGTTCTTCATGGAGAGATCCAACGGCGACTCCTGGGGACTCGTCCCGTCGCTCTCGAGGGAACCGCTTCGCGGTGGATGACTGACGACGGAGGACGACGAAGAGCAGGTGGTAGAGACGGTTACCCTCGTGTCGTCCCATCTAGGCACCACGTCCGAGTCAGAGTGACTGCGTCCGCGGAAGGTGTCGCCCGACGACGACGAAGGCGTCAGGTACTTGTTGTGCATATACTGCTCGAATATGCTGTACGTGCCGCATATGCTGCTGTAGGACGCGAAGCTGGATCGCGAGAGCGGCGTCTGGAGTGACGTCGCCGTCGCTGTCGGCAACATTATCGCCGCCGCCGCCGCCGCCGACGCGGCCAGCGACTGCGAGCACTGGCTGCACATGCAGTCGGGATACTTGGGCGTCGACAGCCGATGGTTGTTCTGGTAGGGCGAGTAACGGTGCCGGTGATGATGATGATGGTGATACGAGTACGAGCGATACGATCGATGGTGGGGATGATGGTGATGCTGCTGACCGGCCTCGTGGGGTTCCTCCTCGGTCGACGTCACCGACTCCGCGTCCTTCAGCCTCAACGGCAACTGACCGATGACCGGAGTGGCGTCCGCGGCGGATCGCGAGGACGACGATCTGGGCGAGCCGAATACGTCCTCCTCCTCCGACACAGGCCCGCTGCCCTCGAATCGCAGCACCTCGCCCTCGGACGGCGAGCTCCGGTGAGCCTGCAGTGTATCCACGACCTGTTCCAGCCGTCTCCGTTTCTTGCGCGGGTTCCGATGGTTGCGGTTGGCCGTCGCCGCGAGGGTGTTGTTGTTGGTGCAGGAGGGCGGTGGTGGCTTGGCCGGACCCGGGGGCGCGGCTGCGGCGTCCTCCACGGCGCTCTCGGCCATCGTCATCGAGGATGCGCGGCACCCGCCGCCTGGGCCCCTTATGCCACCTACGACACCCTCGGCTACCACCGTACTACCTCCCACTTCGTCCTGAAACAATCGAAATGACGTTGATGCGATTATTCGAGGATGTCTCGTGTCAAGCATCTTCGAATTTTCAAATCTTGCGCGCTCTTAAATAATATACAATCTTAAAAATGTCACTGAAAAACAGTATAATGATTTTAAATTAGCTTGAGTCATTAAACATGTGTACTAGGGCTGTTTAGGTTAATTTAGCTTCAAAGCTTCGGAGGTTATATTATCGTGATAAATACATATTTCTAGAATTACATGACAAGATCTGAATAAAATGTTGCTCAATTGAAAAATATGTCTAAAAATTTTGATTTTCAATAATTTTTAATAATTGTTTAATAATTTATCGTTTAAAAAATGTTTTGTGTCTATATATATTAATTAATTCACTTTTATTTGCAACATTTTCAACATTTCTTACATGAATTTGCAAGAATATATTTTCCGAAGCTTCAAATTCTTTCGAAATTGTCAAACAACAGCCCTTCATTATCTTTAATAGTGTTTATAAATTGAATTGCAATCATATATACCCCATAAATCTTACAAAATATAAATATATATCATATATATATAATTATATGTATAATTATATATCATGTATAATTTTACGCTTGTAAAAAGACAGAGAAAAAGAAAATGAGATCTAATTTTTAATTTCGATTACACGCAATACAAATTAATTTTCGCGAAAAATAGCTTCCGATTATATGTTGTAATTGATGAGATTTAATCAGATTTGAACGCCGATGGATAAAATGATTATTGATAAAATGATAATTTGATGATATTTTTGTTAACATAACGTTGTTAAGAACACCGGATTGCTAATGACAGTAATTCACATATCGTGGCGACATTTATACAAGCGAAATTGAGACTCGCAGGTGCTAATAAACCATGACTTCGTAATTATACATGACATAAACAACCGTAGCTGCGATATAGATAATGATAATATAGTAAAAATAAAATTCGGTAAAATCACGTTTAATATAATCATCACGTACAAACAAATTTTATTACCGAATAATTTCAGTAACGAATAAATCAAAATTTCCAAAGCGTATATGTGATTTGCTAGGTTAGAGCATAATCATAAAAAAAACCATTAGAAAGCTAGGCATAAAATGTAGATTTTGTCACAAAATGAAAGAGAAAAAAAATAGAATTTATTATTTATGTATTTAAAATAGAAACTTAAAATAGAAATTTATATATTTTAAATAGCAATTTTTCCGCAACAGTTATATCAAATTCATTTATGTATCTATATCGCTATTATATCACAGAATATCGATGATATTAAAACTGAACAGGTTAACGAGTAATGTCAAAAGATGAAATATGCCGAGAATTTATTGTGAACGTGGGGGGGAGGGCTACTGTCAAAATTCAGGGATCATCATCGTTAACAAACTCGTAATCGTGAAAGCGAGGAGCGATCGTTTGCGTAGAATCTTACCGTCGATCCGAAAAAGACAGGTATCGGCGACGTATTCGTGCGAAGGCAACAAGTGCGTAGAGGCTCGTCTCGAAACGAATGTCGGTCGTGGTGATGGCAACGGAGGCCTCCCCGGAGGGGAGACGGCAGGGACGGTAAAAAAGCGCCAAGTTGTCGTAACGAGACGCGATTAGAATATTCGTCGCGTTTTTGCGCCGCGATATCGGCCGGCCATTTGTCATTAGCTGCACGGCCGCCATTAAACGACGAAGAGAAAGAGAGAGAGAGAGAGAGATAGAGAGACGATCGCCTCTCTCGGCGAGATCGCGCTCGATGCCGATGGGGCCGATTATCGCGGCCGCCGCAGATTCGGCTAACGGAACTTTTTTTTCCTCTCTCTCTTCCCAACATTCCCGATAAAGGAATCTCGCCCACTTTGTAAACAGGCAGCGTCGCCGCTTATCGAGGAGCGCTGCCCCGAGGAAATTAATTAATAATAAAAGAAGGAAGGGATCTATCACGGGTCAATTGATTCGAGTGTCCATTAAACCATGGTGTTTCTAAGAGAGAAAAAAAGAATCGATACGCGATAAGCGAGTACGGCACGTAAATAATAATAAAGAATTCTCGGCGAAGTCCCAATTCCCACGAAATGATGGACGAGAAAGGAGGCGGTGTGGTGTCACGAGGTTTTTTTTTTAATCCGCATGGATTTATTCATTAATGGACCACACTCCGTCTTGTTCGATGTGACAACGGCACTTTGTCATAAGATCGCACGCGGCGTAATTCGAGAGATGTATCTGCTGAATATTTGAAATTTAAATCCGCCTGCGAGCACGAATGTATGAATCAACGGACAGACAACCGATGACTGGCGTTTAATTCGGTATCCTTTTCATTTTCTTTTTTTTTTCCTCTTTTTTTTGACAGCGTGGGCGAAATTTCGTTGCGCGTGTCTAGCGTTTTAAGCTTGTATGCTATGAAACTCCATTATCGGTTGTATCTGCGGCTCTTTTATACGAGCGAGAAGTTAACAGAATTCTAAAGGCGTAGTGATTAATTATCCGAGACGCGACATTATCTAGTCGCATACATCAAAGACAATTAATTACATATATAAGATATATCATTACATATAAGATAAAATCATTATATAATAATGTATATATATATATATATATATATATATATATATATATATATTATTATAATCATTTTATCTGATGTATCTTGAACCCATTAATGTTTTTGCAGCCAAAAATAATGCGAAATCTCAACTTCAAGTAACATATATGTTTTATTTTATTTTTATTTTATACATTTATTTTTTTATTTTCTATTTTATTTTATTTTACGTTTTATTTTTTTATTTTTCGATTACATACAATAAGTATATTCATTTATTTAGTACGGTAAGGATTAATTAATTTTCCGAACGCGTGTATTAAATAGACGAGGAAAAGTGAAAGGTGAAAGGGGAGGAAAATGCAACTTGCTCAGCAAACAGAGAGGGCTGAAGGAAATTAAATCACGACGCGCCTCCTGAGAACCGGTGGCATTTAATGGCTCGATGCGACGGTATCTTGGCGCCGTGCATAATCTCGATTGCAGACCTGCCTTCGGTCTCAATAGCGCGTCACGATCGTGGAATAGAGATTCTTACTCGGGTTTCCCGGAAAAACGTGCGGGGGACGCGGAGGAGGACAAAACCGTCCAACGGTTTTCCACAGACGGCTCCAGCTATACGCATACCGACGTGCGTACGTGCGTAGAGCGCCGTTTCGAGACCGATCTTCGTTCTAGTCGAAGGAGGGGGGGCCGCTTACCTCCGATGAATACCGAGAAAAGTATCGGTGGCGAAAGACGCCGACTCCTCCTGGCCGCGGGTCTCGAGAGGCGGGCTCTGACAGTCGCTCGAGTGACTTAATGCGCGATTTATTCCGATACACGTGCAACGCGTCCTTCAACTTTGCACCGCCGGAGCATTCCCGAGATTCTAGAATAAGGACTCGTGGCTGTCGCACGAAAAAAAACTGCTTTATGCGCTCGAAAGTCTTCTTGCGCCGATTTCTTCGAGAGATAGAATAAATATTAAAGTCTCGTCTTTTTATATTGATTGTTTTTACTGGCTGGATGACGCTATCGTGAAGCGCGTTGCAAAAAAGCGTGACTTATTTTTGAATAAAATGTTTGACAGAAAGAGAGGGAAGGAGAGAAGGAATCTCTTTAACGAGTTACATTTATTGTCTATTCATAAATAGATACTTGCGGTTTTTTAATTATAAAATCGCATCAATCAAAAGGAAACGTGCAGTGGATTTTAGAGCTGATCATGTAGCTTCTACGAAGCACCTACTTCGAGAAAAAAGAGAAAAACTCGCGATGGATGACGAGTCCTGTTTGACGATCTTTCTTGCTCGGCGCTTCGAGTCTTTCTTCCTCGCCACAGTGGCTATCCTTTTATTCTCCTTGGCGCCGCCGTCGCATGTCCTATCCTTCCCCGCCTTCATTTACGGAGAGAAAGGGCCTCGATGATCGGTCGTAAAACGTAAAGGGGACTCGTAAACGGAGTGAAAAGATGTCAGAACGTAAATGCGCCGAGAACAGGTCCTCCTCGAGGAGGGCGGTGTGGGCGTACTTATTCTTCCCACACTGCTTTGATTTTCTCCCCTTTCTCTTCAGACAGATATTTGTATCTTTCAGAGATTTCTGCTGCCACATTTCATTACTTTCTCTTTGTTCTTTATCTCTTTTAAAGTATGTTATTATATTAAATTACTAGAATAGTATCAAAAACGATTTTTACCTGTCAAATCGATGCTGATAAACTAAAGATTAGAGTTCAAAAGAATGCAAAAATTTCAGGTCTTCAAAAAATTGCAATTTCGTAGGTTATGAAATTTAGATTTGTAGGTTAACAAATTTTAATATTTAAACATTTTTTAAATATTTAAAAAATTTTTTAAATTTTAACGATATAAAAAGTTTAGGATAGGAAGAATATAATAATTTCTTAAAATTATACAGTAAAGAATTAAAGAATTTAAAATTTAGAGAAGATCAAAGAGTATAAAACTATTGTTATCGCTTTTATCGAATAAGACAAATAAACAAGAAAACACAGCAAAATCAAAAGAATTAAATTTTAAAAGTAATAACAAAAAAAAGAGAAAAAAATGAAGCAACATAATTTATGACTTGCGCACATTTTTAGACGCACTTTCTTTGCATAAAGAAGAAAAATTCATAATTTTGTTCACGGAGAGGAAAAATATAAACCATTTTCGTTCGACACAAGTAATTGTATCGGAAGCGCGGGAAATATATTTGTATCCACGCGTGTTTGATTACATGCGCGATGATTCGAGGATGCGAGGATCATCGGTAAAGAATTCCAGCAGGAATGCCCTCGGGCAGGCACCTGTAACCGTGGCACGACGGGAGAAACAGAACAGGTTGAGACGTGGGCGTGGGTGGAGCGCTTGATCTTTCTCTCCCGCACGATCTGCCCATATACTGGCTACGATGGGCTAGCGATGGGCGCGTTCGGCGCGCGAACCATTTC